ATCGTCTTTACAGACCCCTTTGTCGGACGACATCAATGACGTTTCATGACGCGTCAATGACGAGAAATTTGCATCAAAATGTGCCCTCCTAAGACGCGTTCATACTCCGTGACCTAAGCGAGTAAGTCGCACGACTTAGGCCGTCCAAGCCAATGTTAAAATTGCAGTTGAAGCGGCCCAACGATTAGCGATGGAGCGCGATCCGCGGTGGTCTCACCGTTCTCGATTCGCGCGAGCTAATCGGTCACGTCGCGAAGTATGGACGCTGCCGTACACTAAACCCTCCACTTTTTTATAAATGGACGGCAGCTTACACAGGTGGAAGTGCTATTTTGTTTCTATTTCATTTGATCTGAGCCTATTCTCAGACAATACATTCCTAAAAAACCTCTCGTGATCATATTCATGCGATGTGTAGATGATTGCGGCCCTTAGTATAGGGCCATTTCAGAACAAAACTCAACAATTTTCATAAAAACCTCATCAGCGCCTGTACACATCAGCATCGTTCCTTTCTTCACATTCAACAACAGGCTGAGCGAATAAGATTTGTTTTTATCGTAGCCGTTCGCTTGTGACGATGTGAAGCGCTCTTCCTCACACTCATCTTCATCTTAATCGAATTGTAAAACAGGATAAGATCAAAATTTCGCTGACTACAAGTATTGACACTTACAACGATCCACAGGGTCCCCACCACATTCGTAGAACATGTCGTCACTAAGCGCATTGATTTTGAATTCATCATCACCTGGTCTAACACTGGGTGCAGCTGGTTGCCGAAGAAGCAGATCATTCACCTAAAAACTTACGAAGACCACTCTATCAACCATATAAAAACTTCTCAGCTACAGCATCTAGGCAGGGTTCGGACTTCGCATTGATGCGCGTCGACGCGCTGCCAATGAGGGGTGCCCCAACAGTATAGGGGCGAAGCAGCTGCAGACAGGAATCGATCGGCACAGGCCGCTTGCGTTTTGAGAAAGTACAGGATAACAATAGGGAATGCGCTCCCTTCACACAAACTGGAACTCTCCTATTCAGTTCTATCTCAATGTACCGAGTACGATCGACACCAGACTGCGTGAATGGGAATGCGTACTCTCCCATACCCCTATTCTCTCCGAACACGGGCGGAAGGCGCCGACTGATTTTCGTCTGAGATTGATTTCACTTCCACTGCATTGCAGCGCTCTTGAAACTGTAGCGAATCGACGCGCTTTACAGCAGGCCATGACGAAGTCTAAACGCTGCCTTTGAGAAAATTGCTCATAAGAATCCCAAAGTGAAGTAATAAACTGGAAAAGAGCGGAAAAAAATGCAAGATTTTCGGAGAAAAAAAACAAAACTTGTGGGAATCCTGTTTAATCGGAAACACTCACCAGCCTATTGTAAAGCACCTCAAGGTATGCATGGCTTGGAATAAGCACCCGAAGAATCGGTATATCCAACGATATTACCAACACCGATTGCAGGATGCATTTGGCACCAAATGCAGTCATCTCTTCACGGGAACCGGCTAGGATTAACTAGAAAAGCTTATATGAAGCGCAGGCACAAACTCATCCCATTCCAGTAACCTACATCATTTCCTTCTTCATGATTATGGAGGTATGA